TTTTACTGGTATCCACAATCAACACCCATGGACACAGCAGTCAAGAAATCAAACGACTTATTGCATCGGGCAAATCTGCTGCAGAAGACCTGTTTAAAGTGTTGAAAAGCAAAGATATCATCTTGAAGACTAAGGTGCACCTGACTCAAGCCACGATGTTTTCAGTCTCCTCATATGCATGCGAAAGCTGGGCAATAAATAAGGAAGACAAGGAATTGAAGCCTTTGAATTATGGTGTTGGCGAAGAATATTGAATGTACTATGGACTGCCAAAAGAATGAACAAATCTGTCTTGGAAGTTGTCAAGCCAGAGTGCTTATTGGAAGCAAGGATGGCAAGACTTCATCTCAGTTACTTTGGACAAGTTATCAAGAGGGACCAGTCCTTAGAAAGGAACATCATGCTTGATAAAGTAGAGGGCAATTAAAAAAAGGAAGACCCTCAACGAGATGGATTGACACAGTGGCTGCAACAACGAGCTCCAGCATAACGATGATCATGAGGATGGAGCAGGACTGGGCAGTGTTTCATTCTGTTGTACATAGGGTCACTATGAGTCGGAACCTACTTGAGGGCATCTAACAACAACAATTTTGATGAGACTTTTTATAATGAGCACAAATGTCAAGTATTTTAGCTACAAAGTTCCATCCTACTTTCAATGCCTAAGTGATAAGATCAATGTTTTCCTGATATTAATATTTCTGATAACTCAGCCTGACAATTATTACCCAAACCAAGTATAGGATCAATTGGATAGATCTCACATATGCAGGAACGAAAGGGTGGGAAGAACGGTTCTCACACATTTATAATTTGTCAGATGCTCCTGGATCTAAGTGGAAAGACATGGAGTTGTGTCAAGAGGGCATCATTCTCAAATTGTCTTTTTTTCTTGGAATCTCACAGATTTTTGCACCCTGGAACATGCATCATCATACCATGCAGAATGGTTGAGAGCCATGGCTTTCTTTTGTAATGTGCATTCCTACATCTTTTATTACAAATATTGACTTGAAATGGGTAAAGAAATATAGACATAAGTGGAATTGAGGTACTCAGCTGCTTACCCCAAAATTGGCAGTTGGAACCCACCAAACACACTGGGGGGAGAAAGAAGACCTGGCAATCTGCTCTTGTAAAGAGCAGTCAGTTTCGTAGAGTCAGTTCCGTCGAGTCAGTTCCGACTCACAGAGACCTTATATGAAGTGTAGAAAAGTTTAAAATTCTAGGAAATATTTCTAGTCTTCACTTTACCCAATCAATATTCCATATGCCTTCCTCGCATTTAAGTTAGTAGGCCTTTAGTCATGCTGTTCCATCATCCTGAAATCATCACATCCCTTTCACCCCCGTATCTAAGTTTTATTGGCAAAATCATGAGGCATTCACAGACTCTTCAAAAAGAAGCAATTCAATGATCTTCTGACACAAAATATATATTACTAGTGTGTATTTTGGAACTTATTTATTTCTAATAGTATGCTATGTTGTTTACATATTTTATAATTTCTTTGAAATGAGGGAAACCACCTCCTCTACATACGCCTTACACATATGTAGTCGGTGCTGAACAAATGTTTTGTTAAATTAACAATGCACAAAGTTTTTTAATCTTGCTTCACTTTTGTGTGTAGAAATGACAGCGAATAAATGAGACATTTAAACTACTTTCAATTATGTAATATTTACTTTGCAAGTAATGAGACAGGACACTTCTTTTTTTTTGCTTTCTGGATTATTTTAATGGTTAATTTGAAATAGAAGTAAAATGAAAAAATTGAAGAATTATTCGTGGATGTTACTTGTGCAGGGATGAAAACTATCCTGGAGATTGGGGACAATAGGGGAAGTAGGAAGAGAGTTGAGGGACTCAGTTATGCCATCAGGTTAATTATGTCAACCTAGGAACTCTAATCTCATGATTTATATGAGGCAGGTATTGTACTCAACCTTTAACTTCAGCACTAAGAAAGTTTAAAACGTTAGTTCAGGCTATTAAGGACAGGAGAGGGTAGTGTTGATGTAAATACAATGACATCTTTATTGATTAGTAAAAAAATTAGGATCTCCAGTACAATTAAAACCAAATGAAATTCAGCAGAAGCTACTGATTCAAAATCAGGTAAGAGATATAATCCAGTAAACAACTCCTCATCTTTACAGCACAATATAGGATGAACGAGTTATTTTATCTCAGTGGTACAGAGGCAACTAGCTTTGCAGTATTGTTGAACCACCTTGTGACTACATCCAAACCTTTGTATTCGTGTTTTACAGTTAATAACTTCATCACTGTAGTGGCAGGGGTTGGCTGAAAGGAAATGGCAGGGTTATATAATATTTTCTCAAAAAATCACAGTCACTGAGGAAAGACATCATGAACAGGCAGACAAAAACATGCCATGTACATACATCTGCAGAAATACGTACAAAATTCTCCAATGATTTTAAAGATTTACCATTTTAAAATTGTTGTAATGTTTATAAAATTTTAGAAAAGCATTCTTTATCCTGAATTTGTCTAATTATCCGAATTAATAAATGGCATCTTTTGACATGTTTTTTATACATAAAGCAGAATAACTACAACTTATTTTCCTCACTTCTTTCAGATTTTCTTTATTTAATACACACTATTGAGCCTTAATAATTTGACATCAGTTTAAATTTTTACGTTATAGCTCTTCTCTTTCAATTATAAATTGTAGTCATTGCATTTAGTTTAGAGCAATTTTATAAATTTTTCACTTATATTACAATTTCCATCGACATCTTTCCATCGGTGCCTTCCTCATTTCTAAATTATCAAATTTGATTCATCTGTCAGTAACCTGGAGAATGATCACAGGAGGTCTATCAAGGTGTATCAGGAAGAAAGAATGTGGGTGACTTATTACTGCCTGAGGTATTATATACGTGATAGTGTATTACTGCCGCTTTTTCCTATGGCTAATATTTGCCAAGGTAATCACTAGTTATTTTTCATCAATTTTCCATCTATCTTCTGATATTTAGTATTCTGAAGAAATCTGATGTCATTGGATATCCTTTTCTTTATAAGTGGTGTGTATTTTTCTTCTTTGACTCCTTTGTGGTGTCTTGATTATCTTTTCTTCCATTCTCTATTTTTAATTTGTATCATTTTCCTCAGTTTTTATAAGTAGGAATTTCTGCTTTTCATCAGATTCATTTGAAATACACTAAGCTGATTAGATCTGCATACACAGGTCTTACAATGTTAGCACTGATTCTGCTCTAATATGGCAGGTTTCTTCATTCTCAAGTTTGCATCGCTTTCTTCAGTAACTCTCATCTTATGCATTTATAAGTGAGCAAAAGGCTTAACATATGTATCCTTATGTCATATATTCAATGTTCTGGAGTAGTACTTCTCTCTTTTCTAATTCATTTTAATTCTATTATATTTTTCAAATCACTGTAGAGTTTGCTTTTCTCTCTCCCTTAAAAGTCTACACTCTCCTATGCACAGATAGTCAGTTTTATTATTATTATTGGTCATCTTCCTCCAACTATATCGGTTTAATACTTTAGCCTCTTCAACATCCACGTACTCAATGACTATCAAGAGCATTTGACTGCTCTTCTCCTCTGGTTTGTATTGACATTTCAGAAATGGGGTATAAAAAGAGATGGGAGAGAGAGGAGAATGTGAGGAAAATATGTATATATATGCACGTATTATAATGACAACATGGAAACATGGAAAAGAAATTAATTCTCCCTGGTTTAAAAGCAAATCATCAGGTGAAGGAAAATAAGCTGTCCGGCGTTCCAAGTCTGAGGACCCAGGATATTCTTCCTGGGCTTGGTATTTCTCCACAGACTTCTTGAAAATTATCTGATTCAAAGTTATCCCTAGGGATTAAGGAATTATGTTTGCAGAGAGGGCATAGTAAAACAAAATTTTGCTCAGAGAATGAACATGCAATTGGCACCCATTTGGATAGTTTTTCACTTTAGGTTAAGATTTATTTCAGAAATAAAAGGAAGGACTGCAAGAGGGCAATGTGCACATCAGATAACATCTTCTGATGTTTCAGAGAAAACACTGAAGAATATCAATTACTCAGAAAGAAATTGTATGTCAAACCTACCCAAGGTGCCTTGGAAGACAGGCCTGATGATCTGCTTCCAAAAGTTCACAACACTGAAAACCCTATGGAGCAGTGCTACTTTGCATATACTGGGTCGCCAAGAGTCAGAATCGACTCAAAGGCAACCAACAAGAACAACAATCTTTTGGGAAGAATCCCTAGGTAATACAAATGGTTAAGCTCTCCACTGCTAACGGAAGGGTTGGCGGTTTGAACTTGAGAGGTGCCTTGGAAAAGAGGCCTGGAAATCTGCTTCTGAAAGGTCAAGCAGTTCTACTCTTCCACAGGTGAGGTCACCATAAGTCAGAATTGACTCAATGTTAACTATTTTTTTTTAAACTTTGGGTGAGAACTTGAGTTCTAAGACCTAGATATTCTAATTTCTGTTGAAATGGACTAAATAAATGGTCTTATTTATCACTCTGGGTGTTGGGTGAAGAAATAAGCAGAAAATGCTCATCTTTTCTTTGAGAAGTTTGGGATGAAATTTGTAGAAAAGCGTAGTATTGGTTAAATGCTTGATTTAAAGAACACATGGCTCCCAGATCAACATCCAGCTTTAAGCAAACTAAATTTGTAAAACTTACTACAAAGTCTATCTTCACAGGCATCGGGACAGTCTTCGCATGGGAAACCCGCTTTATAAGGTCTAATTCTGCTATGATCATTTCCCCTTAAGGAAGAAAAAAGAAAAACTGGTCTAAAAAAAAATTCATGTTTGGAAAATGGATATAAAATTTTACTCACTGTGAACAACCAATTTTAAAAACAAGTTGCGAAAAACCACTTAGGAAAAACTACTGATAGTATGTAGATAAATGTGAGATTTCTAAATGTACAATGATGACAATTTTCTTTTTAGCATGCACAACCGGTAACTCTGGATGTCAGGAAAAAAGTGTTTTTTCAGACAAGTTGCTCCTCTACCATGGGACTATTGGACAGTATGGTCCTAACAGGCAGGAATGCTCTAGAGCCATTTACAAGGGCACAATACTCTTTATTTGTACCCATAAGGACTTGGCAAACCATCACTAAAGCGAGTGATTTTAACAGAATTAAGAAACATTTTAAGTAAGTCAAAATTTGAGATGCTCTTATTTCTCCTTGCACTATGTCATGAAAAAAATTTACAAACTTTCCTTTAGTAGAAAAATATAGAGTATAAAAAAGATGAAATAACATGGACATGGGTAAAACTAATGTGTTGAAGAGAGGGGAGGAGAAAGAGAATAGATCAAAATCTCCAGGTCTGGGCAAATTTGAAACTTTGGAGAAGATAGTTCTTACCTTTAAAGGTCTGAGGACATAATATTGATAATATCTGATTCTTACTTAGTATCAGATTATCTTTTCTAGAAATTGTGCCTTTGATTTGTGGTAGTGTCTGTGACATATAAACTTAAGATCTAAAGAAAAGATGTATATGAATGTCTGTACTAAAAATTTAAGCTGAGGGAAAAATACTTGGTTTTTCAGTGTTCTTCCTTCTTGAGATTCCACTTGAATTCTTAAGATACTCATACTCTTGAAAAAAAAAATCCTTGTTTCTTTGGATATTCAAATATTGATACCCTTAACTAATCGCAATTTGAAGAATCAATAGCACATAGCAAGGCTACTGGTAAATAATTCTGAATTTTTACATTCTATTAATGAGATAGATTTATTGAGTAAAAATATAATATAAATAAAATATAGATGTGCATATATATGTATGTGCATATATGTATATGTAATTTTTGCAGGTATTGACTCAATGTTACATACCTAAAGATCTGCCTAATTGAAATAAAATATTTGAGTTCTCTTGTTTAAGGGCTGAAAGACTAGATAGTGCTCTCTTAAGAGAAAACATTACTCAAAGCTGTAAGAAACCAAATTGTATAATACATACTCAGGACAATAGTGACAAATGTAGAGATACCCATTTGACCTTCCTTTGCCACACAATGTAATGCCACAGCCAATGAGATAAGAAGTGGCCCAAACAACCTGTAATGTTAAATAGATTATTTTATTATAGATTTAATATGTCACAAAATGAATACAGTATCAATGTTACTATCCGCAATTAAAATTAAGTGCTTGTTTACTTTTAGAATTGCTTTGAGCACAGCTTATTAGGAATTCATAGAAACAAAAAGCTTCCTATGCGTCTAGACACACACACACACACACACACACACACACACACATTGTTGGAAATAAGGGAGATCAGGCAGAGGCATCACTAGGGTTGGTGTCACCCAGTGCAGTAACTCATGATGTCACCTCCTCCATACGGAATATTGTAGCTAAAACACCAGAAAATTTGACAAAATCAGCCACTGTAAAAACACTGGCAGCAACGAAAATGATAGCGCGTGCTTGTAGTGTGTGCAGATGAAACCACATGATTTGAAGCGTCACTGTAATTGGATAATAATGACTCTGAACTGGGCACATTAGAAGGTTCAAAAAGTAAATTAGCATAGAGTTCTAGCCTTGTAGGTATATTGATACATTTGAGCTGGGCTTATGAAGAGTGTTTTTGTTGTTATAACAAAACTGTTTTGTTGTTACAACAAAATTGTTGTGTGGTGCTGAAACACTGCACAACAATTTTATAGACAGTCATTTTGGTGTCACCTACTCTGACAGTGTCACCCAGTGCAGTCCACACCCCCTGTATCCTAGTGATGCCACTGAGACCAGGTAGAGAAAATAAGACTGACAAGAGATCAGGGGAAGGTAACTTGATGATTGGCTCTTTCTGTATTTATTGTGAGTTAATTTTTCTTTGGGGATATTTGGGAGTTGGAATGTACTTTCTATTAAAAAACCTCAATATTAATTTTCTCTGGAATATGAGAGATGGATGGAGGTGAACTGTAGGTAAAAAAGAAGAGATGGTGATCAGTTTGTAATGAACAGACAGACTCATGTTCAAAAGGGGCATGAGTGTTGCCATGGGCTTTACATGGCTGTTCATGGGACTTATTTCTCAGATCATACTATTCAGCATATTCAAGGATGATCAGGGCCCTATTTTAACTCTCCCTGACTCAGTCTTATTGGAATTAAAAGTTTATTTCTGAATTTTCATTAAGAAATATGAATGGCTCTCATTGACCCTGGTTCCTTCTCTCCTTCTGGCTAAACCTATGTGGAAAATCATCTAACATGAAGAAGGTTGCTTACTGGTTATATAATAATCAAATCATGGAAGTAACTTTTTCTTATGGGTCAGGGAACAGACATCATATAGACAGTAAACTAAGCTTTCAAGGCAAAGTGACCTGTATTCAAATTTCATCTCTACCACTGCTGGGTAGATAGTACTTAGCAGTCTACTTTATGCCTCTGAGTTTCATTTTCTCATCTATAAAATAAGATACAATAGTACTATCCTCCATATTATAAGTGGATAGTGAGAAATAATAAACATTTAAGAGGCTGGAACAGAGAATGTTTTCAATAAATGTGATCACTCTCCCACCATCACATGAGTCCCCATAGGTTTTCTCTTACTCAGCTAGTGCTGGAGACTTTTCCCAAGTTTCTTTTCCTATTCTTGAGCAGGGTGTCTGCTGCACCTGATTTTAATAAAATGTCTTGTCTGCTCCTCACAGAGGCAGACTTTCACTAGTGCTAATCTCACTTAATCCCACATGGCTTTTTATTATCTGTTGCTAATGAGGGTAGACCTTCACCAAAACTCCTGCTCTTATCTGGGTCTACAGATACAAATTTTATGAGTTGGATTCAATGTCTGCAGGTTCTTCTTCTCATTCTTTCTAACACATCCACATTTTTCATAAGAGACCCTTTTGAGCTCAGAACCTGGTAGAGCACATGATTAAAAAAAAAAAAAGTAGAACAGCTATTTTACTATGACTTTTCTATATATGAAGTGATGGCAGGATGATTGCACTTAATTAATTTCTGCATTTATTCCTTCAACATATATCCAAGAAAAAAATGAAGATGCTATTTTTTCATTAAGGAGCCCTGGCAGCACTATGGTTAAGCGCTTGGTTGCTGACTAAAAAGCTAGTGGTTTGAACCCACCAGCAGCTCCACTGGAAAAAAGACCTGATGATTTGCTCCAGTAAAGATTATATAGCCTAGGAAACTATAGGAAAGTCGCTATGAGTCAGAACCTACTCAATGGCACACAGCAACACTTTTTCATTGGGTCTTCAGATATAAAAATAATCTCAGGAAAAAGTCTTTTGTTTTTTATAAAACTGTTTTATCAACATATTGATATATTTACAAAGAGTTACAAACAACTGGAAATGTTGATATTTTCCATTGTTTATCATTTTAAGGACACGAAGGCAAACTTCTTTGATTTTGTTGTTTTTTTTTTTTTTGAAACAGAGGCAAGGTAAGAAATTTTTCCTTATGAAAAAAGTTTTATTTTTTACATTGGGTTGATTGGGATTTAAAGAGATAAATCAGTATTATTTTGATGATGATTGAATTAAGATATTACCTCATGATGGATATTATACTTTTCTGACAGAAATAGCAGGTCTAGGATATTTTTTATCTGAAATAAATAGGAGGTAGGGACTGATGCATAAATCTGTCAGATTTTTAGCCCTATAGGGGATCTTTTTTATCATCTGATTTTTGATGAGAAGATTTATATGAAAAAATAGTCTAATATTAAAGAATTCTTGGATTCCTGGCATCTACTGTTTGTGCCCAAATATATCATTCTGAAAAGAAGAACACTATTTGCTAATGCTTTATTTAGAATTTTTGCATTTCACATCCAAATGCGATTGAGTCTATGGCTTTTAAAATTAATGTCCGTAGGCTTTATTTTAAATAGGTGTGATTTCAGATTTTGTAAAATTCATCAATATCTGGGTCTGCTGCTTTGGGAAGAATAGCTGTTCTACAACTTTTTTGATTTATTCTATTTTAAGTGTTTAAATTTTCTATCTCTTCTGAGATGAATTTTGTTAGCTTACATTTCGTTGGAAAATAATCCACTTAATTCTGATACACAAAGCGATTATTATAGAATCAACTCATTCTCCACATTACAGCATAGTGATCTTTTAAAACATTAATCAGATTAGATCACTACTCTGCTTAAAGCTCCCTTCCTCCAGTGACTTCCCACTGCATTTAAAATAAAATGTAAACCTTTACACTAGCAAACAAGGCTCCATGATATGGCTCCACTTCCTTCCTGTTCTCATTTCCTTCCACTCCTGTTTATCATGTGCCAGCAACCCCCTCCAACCCTCGGCCTTTTCTCTGTTCATGAACACACCTAGATACCAGTCACTGATTTATAAATACTATTTCCCACTAAAATGAATCAGAATTCCTTGGCTAAGTGGATGGCTTCTATATGGAATAGAAGAAGTACCAGGTGATCCTAGAAAATCTTACTGAGTCTAAGGCCAAGAAGTGTTCAGAGCCCAATGGTGTCATGGTCAAAAGGACACAGATGGCTTGAAGAGGTTCCATTGACCAAATATGGAAAAATTTGAGCTTTCACATAACATATTGAAATAAAACAACAGCAACAACAACAATAACAATAACAGAACAAATACAGTCCATGAGTCTGTAGTGATTCTCAGAAAGAGAGAGACTGAGAGTGAGAACGAGAGAGAGAGAAGAAAAAAAAGGACAGCGAGGTGTATGATGAATAATAAATAGAAAACCTAGCATTGTGCACCTTTCAATATAATAACTGATTGAGAAAAGGCATCAATAGAAGCTAAAATGACTGAATAAGAGAATAGAAGAATGATGAGGAGCAGAATCTTAACATGATCTCAAAATATTTTCCCATGAATTATTTATTTATCCTAAAGTTTAAAAATTGTACCATCACAACTGAGAGATCAGGTGGTCGCCATTTTAATAATTCATCAAAATTTAGCATCAACAAATACTTGGATAGTCTGACATGTAGTTCTTTTGATATTCGAAAATAGTTAAGAACTTTTCCTTATTTATTATTCTTGCTAAAATGCTTAACCTTACTCTAATCGTAAGGAAACAATCAAATTCAGAGTATGGATTCTAGAAGACAAGTGGCCTAGCATCTTCAAAAAGTCATGAAAAATAAAAGGAAGAATATTATTGGAGCATTTGAGGAAAATTAGAGATGAACTAAGTATTAGATGATATTACTGAATTAATATCTGTTTTCTTAGGTATGGTCATGGTATTGTGGGTTTTTAGGGCATTATCTTTCTATAATTAGGAGACCTGTGTGAACATACTGAGAATTAAGTGTCATAATGTCTGCAACTTACTTTCAAAGAGTTCAGAAAAAAGTATAAATTTATATAGAGAGATAAAACGAATGTGACAAGATTCTAACAATTTGTGAATCTGGGTATAGGTAATACAGGTGTTTATTATACTTTTATTGAAAACTTTCTGGAGGTTTGAAAAACTTTGAAATAAAAAAACTGGGGAGACGATCTATATGGGATCAAACTGACAATAGCAACTGGAAAGACCTGATAGGAAACTTAGGAAACAGTGAGTTTATGTTAATGGGGGAGGAACAACTTGGAAAGGGAGGGTGAGAATGGTTGCACGACTTGAAGAATGTAATCAACCTCACTGAATTGTGCATGTAGAAATTGTTGAATTGGTGTATGTTCTGGTGTGTATATTCTCAACAAGAACAAAAATGAAATAAATTTAAAAAGAAACCTGGGGAGAATGGGAATTCTCACATTGTAAAGGGACTGGCACTGTTATTTTCATTATTTACAAATATTAAAAATGAAATTTACAAATGAGATTGATGATTATGTGACTTCCTAGAAAATTGAATAGGTAAAGAAGGGAACTAATAAACAAGTTGAGTACAGCGGTCCCCTCTTATCCGTAGGGGATATGTTCCAAGACCCCCAGTGGATGCCTAAAACCGTAGATAGTACCAAACCCTATTTCTTTCCTTATTAAGTCGAGAACTTTCACCTTTTTACTTAAAAGGAGGCACTTTACAGCTTCTCTTTGGCATGTCCGAATTGCCAGCATCACTACGCTTGAGGTTTTGGGCTATTAGTAAGTAACTAAGGGTTACTCGAACACAAGCACTGCAATACCTCCAACAGTCTAGACGGCTACTAAGTGACTAAAGGGAGGTAGCTTATACAGCGTGGGTACGTAGGACAAAGGGATGATTCACATCTCAGGTGAGATAGAGTGGAACGGCGAGAGAGCTCATCACACTACTCAGAATAGTGCACAGTTTAAAACTTACGAATTGTTTATTTCTGGAATTTTCCTAAATATTTTGGGACCGCAGTTAACCGCGGGTAACTGAAACCACAGAAAGTGAAACTGTGGATAAGGGAGGACTACTATATTTTCTCTAAGACATGTATTACAAGAACAACACTTCCTTTGGTTCCAAATTATAAGGCAAACTCGATGGGTTGAGTGTAAGTTTGCATCATGTGGTAGGATGAATTTCAATTGTCCACACTCATTTTTTTTTAATCACACATAACTTAGTCACTTAACACAGGTTACCTGAGTAAAATTGTCAGTCCTTTTATCCCTTCTATTCCATGTCCCATAGGTAAAGTATTGTGACTCATGGTACCAGATTTTAATTATATTTGACCATGAGTCAGGATAAGATGCAAAGAACATATTTTCTCCACAAAAATTCTCTGAAAAGAGAAAAAAAAGCTGGGTCATATTATATAAAACTTGGGAGTATTAAACAAAGTTACTTTCCTCGTTTTTATTTTACAAATGCTCTATAGGGTTGCTGTAAGTCAGAATCGACTCAATGGCAGCGGGTTTTTGGGTTATTCACTGAACAGATCATCCAGGAAATGTCTTGTATGAGGAGGTAAACTCAGTTGTATCTCGGTTGGCATCCTCTTTCTTATTAATGAATTAGCACATAGTGCTCAGGTTTGGTGAGATGTTTACAGTGGGAAATGGTGTGCAAGCTTTGAAATCACATCAATAAACTTTTTAGTTTTTGCCACTTCCAAGCTAACAGGCAAGGGTGAAACCAAATCAGAGCAGCCTATGGGCCAATGACTTGGAAGCAGCTACAGAAACAGCAGTATCTTTCATACAAAGGACTTAAAATTAGCATATGTTCATTTGGCATTCCACCTAATGGTGTGAGCTCTTAATGATCTGGGTATTCGGAATGACCTACCTTTCCCTCGGGCAGGGAAGACCCATATTGCTAATTCATTGCTTCAGTTACTACATGCTGTTTCAGATCTACAGCTTCACAGTCCCGTACTGGTCCACCCAATTCTACTTCCAACTCCCTCCTTCCATCTCAAGTTCTGAAAGTAGAGTGGCTGTGTCTTTCAATTCAGGTTGGCCAAAATTATGTGGAAATCAAATCTGGGAAGTTCACTCTAACAATCACGCCTGCTTTCTTCTGCATAGTGAGTTGTGTCTCTATTCTCAAAATCGCCCCACACCTACCTAAACTCTCCACACCAAGAAAACTGATGGGACTTAGGAAAACCCAGTAAACTATTCATCTCTTGTCCTTAATACATTAAGCATGAGCAGTGGCCAACTCAGGTCATAGAGCTGCTTCTCTATGGTAGGCAATATAAGTCTACTATGACCGAGATCATATGGTTTTCTGCCCCACTTAAGGAGAACATGAATTTGAGTAAATTAAAAAGAGGAACAAATTCTGGCACAAGGGACTGTTGAGATAACACAAGAAAGAACAAGGCAGTTAAATGTGAGAGGTTTTGTTTCCTGACCAATAGTTTATCTCTTGTCTCAGGAAGTGCCCATCCTCATTGCCAGTGGTGAGCTTCAGAAACATCTACATAGGTGTGGAAAAGACTAGAAAATTGGGGCTATTAGAATACTTTCCGGAGAACCATTGGGAGCCACTGAATTCTGCTGGAACGCATAACCTGTTGGCACTGTACAGGGATCTCTGAAATTTCCAGATGCACCGGAAATGGCAAACAAAGGTGCTAAGGGTATTCTAGGATGAATAAGAGGAGGGGAAAGTCAAGAGAACAACATTTCTCTCAAGAGGCTGTTTGTAAAAAGGATCTTTTTAGATATTTTATGTCATTAGACCAAATTTATGGGCTAGGACTCAAGTTGATTTTTGTTTTCTCTTGTTTGTTGTTAAAATCTTTGTTTTCTTCACTATGCAACAAGTGAGACCAATAAGTAAGATCAGATAAATTAATAGGAAATAAAGGAGTCAATATTTTCCCTATGCTTTCAGGATATTGTGAGTAATTCTGTTGCTAGGGGAGATTTATCATGTCTACAGGGCTACGTCCTGCTGTTGCCCACTTGTTTTTTGCTGTTGTTGGCCTCTGTGGAGTTGATTCAGACTCATGATGACTCCATGCATGCAGAGTAGAAATGTACTCCATAGAGGTTTCAAGGCTGTGAACTTTTGGGAGCATATCACCAGGCTTGTCTTCTAAAGCACCTTTCGGTGGGTTCGAACCACCAACCTTTCAGCCAGTAATCGAGTGCTTAATCGTTTGTGCCACCCATTGCCCACCTAATGCTTATGAAAACATTCCCAATCTTCTTGGCTCCTGCTCCCAATGAGGCTTTTTAAAGTCCTTTAACAGTTACTTTTTTCTGCCACGTATTTTTAAGCTGGACAGATGATGGAGTGGGAAGGTCTTATTTGTGAGGGTCTACAACTCACAAATTTTGGAAATTAAAAAAAAAAAACTTGACAAGTGACATATGCTAAAGCATACAACATGGGGGGCTGGATTGTTTTGTGGTTAGAGTATTGAAGAATAACTAAAATGGCTTTGCTTTATTTAACTTGGCTCCTGAAAATTAACCTTCAGTAAGGATATTTAGAATGTGTGCTAAGATACCCAATGATCTATACATATGGAAGTAACAATCATAATTTTTTATTATGATGTAATAAAAAGTAGAGATTGGCATAATGTTACTAGCGGTGGACCATCTAATTTTATGGTTGTCATATTACCATGAGATGGGCTCATTTTTGAGCATCTAAAGTTGTTTAAACAACCAGGAAGTAGAGTCCTAGCGTGGTATAAAAGGTTAAGTGCTTGACCACTAAGCAAAAGGTTGATTGTTGGAACTCATCCAGAGGCATCTCAGAAGACAGGCCTGGTGATCGGCTTTCAAAAGGTCATAGGCTTGAAAACCCTATAGAGTAGTTCTACTCTGCCACGCATAGGGTCGCTATGAGTCAGAATCGACTCAATGGCAACCAACAGTATAGTTGCTCTTATGGGAAGAGCAACAAAGAGTTGCATACAACTCATTTCTCAACTGTATTAGTGGTCAAAAACTAAAAAAATCCTCATGGTGATATCATAGGTAGCTGAGATAAATACAAAGAGTGGAAACCATCTACTCATCTAGTCATCATTGCATTACCTAACTATTCTGTAGTATTGAGAGCTTTGATTCTTTCCTTCTGATGGACAGAACCTGGAAACCGAATATTTTAATATATAGATTTTAAAAAGTTAATAATATAAGAACAGTATATTAGGCCTCAATGCACTGTCATGTATAACACAAATATTCACTGAATAACTTAACTCACCCTGGCCATCTTACTTAACAATCCCTAAAGATTTTTTAGCACAAAGGTCGGTCACATAGACATATTGTCATTAGTTGCTGTTGAGTTGGCTCTGACTCATGACAACATTAGGTATAGCAGAACAAAACATTGCTCGGTCCTGCACTGTCTTTATGACCATTGGTATGTTTGAGTCCATTGTTGTCACTATTGTGTAAATTCATCTCATTGAGGATTTCTCTCATTTTTGATGACCCTCTACTTTACTAAACATGATTGATGGTCTTTTCTAGCAATTGGTCTCTCCTAATGACGTGTCCAAAGTAGGTGAGTCAAGTCTTGCCATCCTTGCTTCTAATATTTGCCTACCTCCAACACGCCTGTCAGGTGGGTAGCTTTCCACCGGATTACACTGACTTGACAAAGTTCTGGCATTTTGTGCAGCATCCTCACTCCATTTCTACAGTGAAAGAGTAAAAACCAAGCATATGATCTTATTAACATTTCCATGTAAGATTCTAGTTCATTGTTTCTAAAAATCCAAAGGGTAGGGATATCCTCAATTATGTAAACTAAAATTTAAGTAATAATGCAACTCTTAAATATTCCAGATGAAAGAGGAAGACATACATTTAAATTTAATGTATTAGCCCTTGAATTCACCAAATCAAAATTTGATAATAGCATTCAGAGGTAGCTTCTCTGAGATCTAGTAGGAGTTGAAGAGAAACAGACAAGAGTTAGAAATCCATACCGGTTATTTATTAGCAATTTACCTTAGACACATTATTTAATCTCCTTGAATCTCAGTTTCTTCATCTGTAATTTACACCCAAAAGTTTGCTGAAAAGTTTTAATGTGATAATCTATCAAATACAACTACCATATACTAAATCTTATATTACATGCCCAGTAAATAAATGATGGCTGTGATTAGAAGCAAGTACAGTATCATATATCTTAATTTAAAATTGTCAATAATAAAAAGAATAATAGCTAATACCAATTCTGCTGCATGCATTTTCCCTCACTTCATAATTACAGCAGTTTTACAAGGTAGGTATTTGTATTATCCCCATTTTGCAGGAGACTGAGACACACAGATGCTGAATAGATTTTTAGGATCGTACAATCAGTTAGTGGCAAAAATAGAATTTGTATCCAGTTAAATCTGGCTCCAGAGAGTGTGCTCTTGCCTATCGATATGAGTCATTTGTTTTGAATTGAAGCATTTTGTCAAATATATCTCGGAAACAGCTGGTCTCCAGGTAAGGAAAAAGGTTGTTATGTTATTACGTGCTGTGGACTCAATTTCGACTCATAGTGACCCCATGTGACAGAGTAGAACTGCCCCATTGGGTTTTCTAGGCTGCCATCTTTATTGGAGCAGATTTCCAGGTCTTTCTCCCACGAAGACTGGGTTCAAACTGCCAACCTTTCAGTTAACAGCCAAGCACTTAATTGTCCCCCACCAGGGCTCCTGAAAAGGGGAAAGGTAGAACTTCCTTATCAGTAGGTATGGGACTCTGACAAATGCTATCCCTAACACTCTTTCATCCTCTCATTCTGTCCATCCACTTAAATGACTTCCACTATATCTGCACGGAACACATTACCAACAGAAGTTGTGAAGTCTGTTTTTACCATGAGCTTTTACATATTCGTTTAGCTACTTATTAGAATAGCATAACTTTTGAATAACACTATCATGTAGATTTACAGTGTTTCCACTGGCATCAAAGAAGTCTTTATGTATGTTATATGTATATGCTGCCATCATGTGGTAATTTTCCAGAATTACCCCTGAGGTTGATGAATTTTCTAAGCCATGAAATGAATTTGTGAGTCTGTCATTTCTAAGCAGTAGCATTCAGTCTCCAAAGTAATTCATTAGCCTGGCATGGAGTAAAAATGTGGCCTTGCAGGTTCTTATTGTTTCATACTCCAAATGATGCATTTTAACCATGGCTACATCTAACTGAAAGAATAGAGATGATAGAACACATTCTATCAGTGGGAATACCATTGCACTCACTGGTAAAGACAATTTGTCTATTATGACCTGGGCTCTGGTGGTGCAGTGGTTAAGTGTTTGGCTGCTAACCAAAAGCTTGGCAGTTTGAATCCAACAGTTGCTCCTTGGAAACCCTTTGGGGCAGTTCTACTCTGTCCTATGTATAGGGTCACTATGAGTTGGAATCGACTCGAAGGCAACTGCTATCAAATGCTTAGGACTGGAACTTACCTGGCTAAATCACATTTAACTCCTTGTAGTGGATACTGTTGTTGCACTGTTCAGATCCCTTTCTGAACTGAAGAACTTATTCCCTCAGCAGCTGGGAGTCCTGCCCACAGACAGCTCTTATTGTCTGCTCTCTCTAGAAATTGCTCCCCTCTGTAGGGCACCCCACATCCAAGAGCTGGTAGATGTAGGAAGTGCAAATGCCAGCCCACCTCTGTCCAACTCAGGACCACTCAAAGAACTATCCCAGTTTTATAACTTCTTGTGGGATTAGTTTGATTTGCTTCTGTTAAGATTATAGCCAAGACACCCTTAGGGAGCAGCTCTACTCTGTAACACATGGGGTCACCATGAGTCGAACTGACTTGACACCAACAGGTTTGGTTCTTGGCTTGGTGGGACTAGAGGAACCCTGGTGGCTCTGTGGTTAAGAGCTTGGCTGCTAACAAAAATGTTGGCAGTTTGAATCCACCAGTCGCTCCTTGGAAACCCTATGGGGCAGTTCTACTCTGTCCTATAGGGTCACTATGAGTCAGAATTGACTCGATAGCAATTTTTTTTTTTAATTATCGTGACTACATCATAGCCCAACTTCTCCCCGTGCCCAATCCTGTATCTCTCCCTACCTCCACAAGTAGGTGTAAATCTGGAGATTGTTTCCCAGTAAACAGCTTGCATGCTTATAGCCATCTCAGAGTTGGCTTATTGGGGAAACCTACCTGCAACACTCATTATATCCAGTCTGCAGTTCAGACATCTTTAAAGAACCCATCTAGGAAATTACCTCTGATTAGTGTTGGTAAGACATCATTTTTTGTGGTACATTCTTGATTGAGATTCACAAATAGGTATTTATTGTTGTTGCATGGTATCAGGCTACTGTTGTGAGATAATAAATCCAAGGCTAATCACCGCATCAGCCTGCAATTTCCCTGAATATTGTTTTGTGGCATAACACCTAGTCTGCCCACACACCAGGTTTACAATGGAAAGACAATTTCTCTCCCCATTTATAGGATGTAAGGGAACTGAAAAATAGACCTGACAATGTTTACTTGTCAGGATCAACTGGTTTAGAATTTAGGTCTTTTAACTCTCAATCAGTGTCTTAGCTTCTGAGCTACTGCCTCATGAAGATAGCTATGGAATGCCTCACAGAACTTATTAATCAAGGTGTGCTATAGTCCTAGAAGCATCAGCATCTGCTGGGAGCTTGTTAGAAATGCAAATACTTGGCCCCACCGCATACCTCTTGAACAAAGAGCTGTGTGGGTGGGGCCCAAGAATCTGGGCTGTATCAAGTTCTCCAAGTAGTTCTTAAACGCAGGACAGTTTGAGAAAAGAATACATTAAGAATGAAGCTAGCCTGCTTCACTGGGGATTGTTGCTCTATTATTTACTAACTGTACGCCCTTGGGAAAGTTACTTAAACTTCTCTGGGCTCCAGTTTCTTCTACTAGGTCAAATGTTTGTTTACGAAGATCAAACTTGTGAGTATATTGACAGTGCTAAGAACTTAATAAGAACTCAGTTAAAATCATTATTTATTGACATCACTGTTGTTGTTTAATTAATCTTACCATCTTCAGCATGTTCCTGGCTGATGGAGTTACCTTTCTCCTGAAGTTATTATGTAAGTTAATGATTTCTTCCTGGACAGCTGGTAATGTGGTGAGGAGTGTTTTATATGGGACTTCAGGTTTTTCCTGTTGTCAGAAAATCACTAATTAGTCTTTTAAAAGAATTTTCTACATAAAATACATTATTTGCAGATGTATAAATAATATACTATTTTGTCTATCTTTTTTTAATAGACTTTGTTTTTTACAGCAGTATTAGCCTTATGGAAAAATTGTGCAGAAAGTACAGAGAGTTCCTATATATTCCTTCCCTCCCCTGCACAGGTTTCTCATATTATTACCATCTTGCATTTCTGTAGTACATTTGTTACAATTGATGAACTAATATAGATATATTATTACTAGCTAAAGTCCATAGTTTACAACAGGGCTCACTCTTTGTGTTGTATAGTTCTGTGGGTTTTGATAAATGCATAATGTCATGTGTCCACCATTTGAGTAACATGCAAAATAGTTTCATTGCTCTAAAATACCCTATGCTCCCCCTATTCATTTTTTCCCTGTTGCCCCTGAAGCCCTGGCAACTGCTGATCTTTTTACTGTCTCTATAGTTTTCCTGAAAGTCGGTGGGTGATACAAATAGTTAAGCACTGGACTACTAACCAAAAGGTTGGCAGTTTGAACCCACTCAGAGGCAGCTTGGAAGAAAGACTTCTCCATCCACTTCTGAAAAGTCACAGCCTTGAACACCCTATGGAGTGCAGTTCTACTCTGCACACGAGTTGGATTCTACTCAACAGCAACTGGTATGATTTGTCTTTTTCCAGAAAGTTATGTAGCTGGACTCATACAGTATGTAGATTTTTCAGGCTGACTTCTTTCACTTAGCAGTGTGCCTTTTAGGTTCCACCAGGTCTTTGCATAACTTGATAGCTCATTTCTTTTTGTTGCTGAATAATACTCCATTGTATGGATATACCACAGTTATGTTTATCTATTCACCTGTTGAAGGACATCTAGATTGCTTCAAATTTGGGGCAATTATTAATAAAGTTGCTATGAATATTTATGTGTAGGTTTTAGTGTGGGACATAACTTTTCAACTCATTGTATATACTTTTGTACTTTCAAGTGAATAAACAGGGATACAAAGCATATTTGAATTTATGATTTCACACTATATTAGTTTCCATTCCTCTAGCGCTAGTTTTGAAGATTTCTAAATGCCAGTCTGGAATTATAATAGTCTACAGGATACTGCACTGGATATTCTGTGATTAGGGCTTTTCAAAGCAATGAGGAGCCCTGGTGGTGCAAATGGTTAAGTGCTCAGCTGCTAACCAAAAGTTTGGCAGTTTGAACCCACCCAGCAGCTCTGTGGGAGGAAAAACCTGGCGATCTTCTTCCGTGAAGATTACAGCCAATAAAATCCTGTGGGGCAGTTCTACTCTGCCACATGGGGTCACTATGAGTCAAGATTGACTCAACAGCCCCTATCGACAACCACAGTGAGAGAGGTTTGATATCGCACCTTTTATTAGCTGACTTCCCTTGCTTGGCTTGTTTCTCGCTCTCCTACAAGTGTTACTTACCTTCACCTTCCAAGTAAACCTTGTCTAAAGGTATGGGACAATCCAAACTAATAGATTCATTATTTAGTATAAAGCCTTAAGACTCACTAACGCAGTATCTACATTTTTGTCCTGTTCATTAATTGCTATAAGAAGTAGCTTCCTTCGGTGTATATGTGTGTGTGTGTGATATCACATATATTTCTAATTTTTTTTAAAAAAAAAAGAGTGGGAAAACTACCAGTTGTCATCGATTCGATTCTGACTCGTGGCCACCCCATGTGTGTCAGCGTAGAACTGCACTCCATAGGGTTTTCATGGCTGTGACTTTTTATAAGCAGATTGCCAGGCCTTCCTTCTGAGGTACCTCTGGGTGAATACTAACTACCAAACTTTCAGTTAGTAGCCCACTGCTTAAGTTTGCTCCACCCAGGGATTCCATGAGGCAAAACTAGTGCAGTAGAATCTAATGTTCCTTTCTAAACTACCACAGCCTTTTCAGCACAGTTTCTGCATGGAGAAGATTCAGAGGGTACTTGCTAAAATATAGAAGCAGTTACTGTCATTTGTTTTATACTGGCAGCTTTAGGGTGTGAAGAAACAGCATGGATATTGAATCCAGGAGATCCCTCTAGAAACTGTCTCCTGTGGACATCATTTCCTCAATAGCATTCACATCTGGTGACATTTCCCTCTTACACTTCAGGTAGCTCATGTCTAGACTAGAGGAAATATTGGAGACCCCTTGCAATTTCCAGATTATAACTCTCCTTACTTTTCTAAAAACTCTGCTCTATTGAAGCTCAGCACATTTGGCTCCACCACCTTCTCCCCCAACATTCACTCTGCTCTAATGGCTTTACCGAAGTCCCTGGGTGGTACGAAGAGTTAACATGCTCAGCTACTAACCAAAAGGTTGGGGATTTGAGTCCAAGAAAGGGTTGGCAATCTACTTCTGAAAATTCAACCATTGAAAAACCTATGGAGCACAGTTCCACTCTGACACACATGGGGTGACCATGAATCGGAATTGACTTAATGGTAACTAGTTTTACTGTCACTTCCTTTCATTCGTAGGAACCAGGTCTTCTGAAACAAATTCGTTCGCCCCACCCCCTTTCTACAGTCAGCTTGACAGTCTTTTCAACCCACATGAATGGCTTCAACCCTCTGTTGTCTCAGGCCCTTGAACTCTTCTTTCTTTATTTTTTTAATTGTACTTCAGGTGAAGGCTTACAGAACAAATAGTTTCTCGTGAAACAGTAGTACACGTATTGTTTTATGACATTGGTTAACAACCCCACAACATGTAAACCCTCTAACTTCTCAATCTTTTTTTTTTGGTGAAAATACACATAGCCAAAGATACACCATTTCAAAAATTTCTTCATGCACAGTTCAGTGACATTGACTATGCTCTTCCAATTATGCTGTTATTCTCACTTAAGATGAAGCCTTACAGAACAAAATAGTTTCTCATTTAACAGTTACTACACATGTTGCCCTATGCCAATGCTTAACAATCTCACAACACATCAACAATATCCTTACTCCCCCTTGAGTTCCCTATCACCAGCTTCCTTGTCCCCTTCTGCCTTCTGGCCCTTGTCACTGAACTACTGTACCTTGTTAGTCTCATTTGGTTTTACGGGGCTGTCCACTCCCAGGCTGAACGGTGAACCTCAGAGATAACTTCACCACTGAGCTAAAAGGGTGTCTGGGGGCCATACTCTCGGGGTTTCTCCAGTCTCCTTTAGGCCAGTAAATCTGGTCTTTTTTTTTGTGAGTTAGAATTATGTTCTACATCCTTCTCCAGCTCTGTCCAGAACCCTGTGTTGTGATCCCGGTCAGAGCAGTCAGTGGTGGTAGCCGGGCACCATCTAACTGTACTGGACTCAGTCCGGTGGAGGCCTTGGTAGCTGTGAACAATTAGTCCTTCAGACTAATCTTTTCCTTGTATCCTGTTCTCTTCATTCTCCCTTGCTCCTGAAGGAATGAGACCAGTGGAGTATCTTAGATGGCCGCTCACAGGCTTTTAAGACCCCAGACACTACTCACCAAGGTAGAATGTAGAGCATTGTCTTTATAAGCTGTATCATGCCAATTGAGCTCTATGTTCCCCGAGACCACGGTCCCCACAGCCCTCTGAACTCTTCTTCCTTTAAATCCTCTTCTCCAGTTCTCTTTAGTTCCCCACTCCCGTGGTCACATATTGAATCTTATGATCGCTTCACAATGCTGTACTCCCCGAATCACTAAGCCAAGCATTTCCCTGCTTAGCCAAGATCTCCTGTTTTTCCCGGTGTGAATGTCACCCGTTCTCACTGTTCATCAGTATTACCTAGCTCCGTAGTCCCCATTCATTCTCTCTCTTCATTAGCCTTCTCTTTTCTTTTCTTTCTTCCCTATCCACATAGTCATTTCAATAACTCTCTTGCTAAAACACTGACTCTTTCCCATGCCCCATTCCCACCGAGGAGCATCCCAACTTTGGGTGAGAACAGTTCCCCTGTCTGCACTAAATCAGCTGAGCATTGCCAGGATTATATCACACAAAAGGACAGATATTGGTATCACCCAAAATCAGGATGATTAATCTCATTTGGACCCTTAATTTTGAAACAGATACAGATTTCCTGTTACAATTCCTTCAACAGTTCACAGGTGTTAGAGAGAACGAAATCCTTAGCAAGGCCTATAAATACCCTACTTATGTTTCAGCTTCTGGTTAAGACATGCTCCCTTAGTTTTCTCTGCTTTAGTCATAGTGGTTTTCTTTTAGTTATTCCAATGTACCAGTTTCCATCTTACCTCAGAATATTTGACTAAGCCTGTCCCTTTGTTAGGACACTCTTTCAGCTTGCACTACCTAGGTGATGTCAATTTATCTTTCAGATCTCAGGTCTACCATTGCTCAGGAAAGTCTTCTCAAATTACCTCAAACAAGATCAGTAAGGTCTGCAACCTGATCCCAACTGATTATTATTTCCCTTCATAGAACTTTTTGGGTACTGTCTACCAGATTCTCATGGAAAACTAAATATCTCAGTAGAAAAGTGATTTCTGTCCAGTTAGATGCCTAGTAGCCCAACAAACTCTGACACTGAAGATAAGTTTCAAATAAGATTGAGGCCTGATGCTTAGACTATTTGCTTTCCACATGGTGTCTAAAAAAAGAAGGTATTACATGTTTATTTGGATTGAGCAAATTGCAACAGCTTATCATTTACTTTAACTGGTATTCTTGTTTAAGGCCTATGTAATAAATTTGTATTTGGAACTTAATGTGTCTCATCTACTTGTTTTACTTTAAAATTCTCAAGCAAACTGTGTATTAAATTTATGCAAATGTAGAAAGTATACTTCCATTTTATCAATGCCTTCTACACTCTCGTATTTTACTTTTGGATTTCTGATTAATCAGTAGTTCAGGCTCTGCTCCCCTGAATATGAAGAGCTCTCCCTATCTGCTTTCTGCTCTGGAGTTTTAAGTAGGGATAATGGCAGCCTAGGCCAGGCCAATTTAGGCTGAGTTGTCTATACCAGCCAACTACTAGATTTTATGGGCAAATGCAGTTTTCTCACTGTTTGCCTCTCTCCTTTCCCTCTGGAATGGTGCCTATGCTTCCGCTTAGCCTTTCTTTACTGCAGAGTATGAAGAACCTCACTCCATGCTGGGGAAGTGAAATGGGCAGAAAACCAGAGGGTAGACAGAAGTCTTCTTCAAGACTCTAGTTCTAGCTTGCTAGAGAATCATGGAGCTCCATCTGGTTTCCCTTTGGGGAAGAAAAGCAAGTGATGGGATCCAAATACCAAATCAACAAATTTTCTTTCATCTATAAAATTAAGTACCTTCCACTTTCAACCTCTCTTACGTGGAATTTGAAAATATAAAAACCACCTATTTTCTATAATAAAACTATTTACTGTAGCTTGTCTTAAAAATACTTGGGTTAAATTAAAAAAAACAAACTTTTCTTTATATCACTGATTCATATTTTTGGCACATATTATTGGGTGACCATAAAATATCATGAGTCAGAATCAACTCAATGGCAAATGTTTTTTTGTTTGTTTGTTGTCTACTCCTTAGTGTATCACCTAGTGTTTTGATTCTCTTTTGTGATTGTAGTTGTTAGTGTTTTAATGAGTAGTCAGGATTGCCCTCATATGTCGATTCCATTGCTAACACTCTCTTATACTTTTTTCCTTTGCTGGGTCATCTTTTAATAGGATGTGTTAAATTCTTGTTATATTCACAAATCAGATAGCTAACTTAAAACATTGATTAAATATTTACATTCTCTGGGAATAAGAATAAGAAACAGTAGTTTTGCTCATTTAGTCATGGAAAATTCATGGGTTGGTTGAAAGGAAGTCTTTTCTATCCTACGTTCTCAATTTTTTTGTATTAGCCATAGAGATTATAATAAAATAGGCATAGGCCCATGAATCCAAGCTGTGTATATTTCATCTCAGGCTCTGCCAGTTCCTAATCAAGTGAACTTATCCACGTGGTTTAACGTGCCTATACCTTGGCTCACCTCTTCTGCAAAATGGGATTAAGAATAGTATTTGTCTTATAGGGCTAGTGTGAGAACTGGGTGAGTAATGTGTGTAGTGTCATCATAATAGTCCCTGTACCCTAGTGAGGTCTATTAAAGGGTTAACTCTTATCCTTATCTAGAAGGCAATATGAAACATGCAATCTTAACATACTCTTATGGCTGAGACAGGCAGGAAGCCAGCAATAGCAACCAAAACCAAGAAATGTTTCATTGTCATACCTGAAAAGAAAAGTAACACAATTTTAGATTATTCTCAATTAATGGAATGATATTTCATAATAAGCCTTTTCTGAGACACTTTTTTAGGTGCCTGCATCTTCTATAAAATGGAGCCTGCAGGATAAGAACAAGGATTAATACATTACCCATTGGGACAAAGGGAAGAATACAGAACTGTGGTAGCTAGAATAATGGCCTCCCAATGGTGGCACAGTGGTTAAGCATTTGTCTACTAACCAAAAGGTTGACAGTTTGAATCCACCAGCCACTCCCTGGAAACCCTATGGGGCAGTTCTGCTCTGTCCTACAGGATCGTAATGAATCGGAATCGACTTGGCAGCAATGGGTTTGGTTTGGGTTTAATGATGTCCCTGTGCCTGTCCTAACCCCCACAACCGTTGAAAATGTTATGCTATGGGAAAATAATGTTGCTGAGTAGTTGTCCTTAAAATGAAGAGAGCATCCTGTATTATCCAGGTGGGTCCAATATAATGACAACGATTCTTAAATGTGAAAGAGGTAGGAAGTTGAGTCAATGTCAGAGTGATGCTATGTGAGAAAGACTTGACCAGGCATTGCTGGCTTTGAAGACAGAGGAAAGGAGTCATGATGCAAGAAATGCAGGCAGCTTATAGAAGCTGGAGGAGGCAAGGAAATGGATTCTTTCTAGAGCGTCCAGACGGAATGCAATCTTGCTGACATCTTGATGTTAGCCCAATGAGACCCATTTTGGACTTCTGACCTCCAGATTGTATGGTAATAAATTTGTTTTGTTTTGTGTGATGTTTGAGTGTTTTGAGTGATGTTTAAGTGTTGTTTTGAGTGTGTTGTTTTGAGTTTGTGGTAATTTGTTACAGCAGCAGTAGGAAACTAATATAAGAACACAACAAGGTTAGATTTGAATTATCCATCACGTAGAGAGGAGAGGTGTGAACTTGGGCAAATTATTCTCTGTAAATCTGTGAATAATAATCCCTGCCTAACGAGTTTGCTGTGAGAGTTGAATTAGTTAAAAAGGTACCTAACTGATTTTACATATTCCATACTTACAACCAGGAGCCCTGGCGGCACAGAGGTTGAGTGTTTGGCTGCTAACCAAAAGGTTGGCAGTTGGAATCCACCAGCTGCTCCTTCGAAACCCTATGGGGCAGTTCTACTCTGTCCTGTAGAATTGCTATGAGTAGGAATCGACTCGACAGCAACAGGATGTGTTTTTTTTTTTTTTTTTTTTAATAAATTCAGCATCTCTTGTCTTAGAAATGGAATTCCATTTTCTGTAATTCAGTGCATGCAAATCTACAGGAAATCATTTTGAGAAGCTGCCCATTTCCTGTTATTTATAAGTGGCAAAATTATGCTTTTTTTCAATCGTATGGCAGCATATGAACTCCAATTGAACTGTGTATCAGTGAAAGCTGGCATTTTATTTGAACTGTATATGTTCTCTGAGTATTTTTGGCAGAATGTTAAGCTTAGAAATCATTCATCACCTGATGCACTCATTGCCTTTTCCAACAGTGGTAAAACCAGTCTTAAACTGACTAAATGAATCACTTTATTATAATCCTGTTGAATTTCTATGTATATTAATATTGATTAGAATTAAACAATAGTATTGATATATCATTGGTGAATCATGATGAAATTATCGTAAATGCCCTAGGTTTCATTTATGTTTTTAAATCTTTAGGGGTTAGCTTAAAATATAAAATCCTGGCTGCTATTCACGAAATTCTGTTTTCTTTATCACTTGAAAATTATTTATTCTTCTATTTCTCTCTGTTTATTAAGCCACACTTATTAGCATCATTCACTTCCCACTTAATCTATTGAAACAAGCACAATGTGGAAAATATAGGGAATTCGTAAAGAAACTCTGTAAGATAATAATGCCTATTTAAATTCATTAAAACTTGCTGGCCTATAGCTTAAAAAGAAAAATCACACACATGCAAATTGAGAATTGGAACTTTCTCAAGCCCCCTCTAACATTTAATAAGAGTGACTCCTCGAGCTCATCTTTTTCAATGGGAACAATCACTGAATTTTTATTATCCCATCTCACTAAAAGGAATCCTATCTAAATCAGTGGGAGGAAACGTAAGTACGGGCAAGGAAAACTTACCTTGTAGATCCTAGTAATGTATGTATGTGAATTGGCAATGGTGGTGGTGGTAGTTGTTGTCGAGTCAAGACAATTCTGACTCATGGTAACCCCAAGTGTACAGAGAACTACCTGCTCCATAGGCTTTTCAAGGCTGTGAACTTTCAGAAGCAGATCGCCAGGCCTGTCTTCTGAGGTGCCTCTGAGTGGGTTCCAACTGTCAACCTTTGGGCTAGTAATTGATCGTTTAACCATTTGTGATACCCAGGGATATAATGCATGTGAATTATCCATTGCCATCAAGTCAATTCAGATTCACAGCAATTCTACAGGACAGACTAGAACTGCCCCATAGGGTTTCCAAGAGGCGGCTGGTGGATTTGAACAGCTGACCTTTTGGTTTGCAGCCCAGCTCTTAACCGCTGAACCACCAGATCCTAGTAAATTATGTATGTGAATTACAGATGTTCTGCAGTATCTGATCACTCAGCTTAGAATGGTTGCTGTGTGTCAGGCAAATCAGAGCTAATCTACCTCCCCTCTTTATTTTTATTTATAAATAGTTGGCTAATTCTAGGTCATTAATAAGTAACTAAGTTATTAAGTTTGATTAGCCTCTTTCTTCTACAGTGAGCCAAACTATTTCTCAATCCATTCTGCTCAATAAGAAGGAGAAAAGGCTAACAGTTTAGTTCTTATTTTACAGAAGTGAAAACTTTCAAAGAGCAAGTTAAACAGTTTGTGTAGAATCATCCAGTGAAGAACGATGCTCACGGTTTTTACTCACTGATGTGGCTTGCCATTGCTCTGGAACCCCCTCACCTGCCCCCTGCCCTGTACTGCCAAACACTTTTCATATGAGGGGAACTTGTAAATCAATCATCTTTCAGGGAACAAACATGCGAACAATCTCTTCTTTATCACTGTCTCTTTCTTTCCCTTTCTCTCTCCCTCTCTCAAAAGTACACACGTACTCTCATACACCGAGATTTACAATAATGCAGTAAAATAGGTACTGGAATGTGCAGCCAACTCTCTCACTTAATCTTCACAATTATCCAGTAAGGCAGATACTTTCACTCCTGAGTTAACTGAAGAAAAAATAAAAAAGAAATTTCTGAAACGTAGTAGGTTGATGTATACATTCACACTAATAATCACGGGTACGTACATACATACTAGATCCCGTTGTCGTGGAGTTGATTCTGAGTCATAGGGACCTAAAACTAACAGGACAGAATAGAACTGCCCCATAGGGTTTCCAAGGCTATAATCTTTATGGAAGCAGACTGCCACATGTTTCTCCCACCGAGCAGCTGGTGGGTTTCAAGTGCTGATCTTTTGGTTAGCAGCTGACCACTTAACCACTATACCACCAGGGCTCCCTATATATAACATACATGTATATATTCAGATACATACTACACACACACACACACACACACACACACACGCTGAATCATATTCACTGGAAAATGGAAGAAAAAAACAAACTTCATTTTTGGGTTATGATTGGGAATCAGGAACTTTGCTGGACCAGGTCTTAGATCAGGGCCTGAACAAGGATGGCTGAATCATTATCCCCTGTCTTCAGGTCTGCACATCTAGGAACTAAGCAGACCATTTCAACCAAGGAATTATAATTGTTTGAACTCAGGTAAAGGCAGCTGAACAGAAGAATTATAGAAGCAACAGAAGCAGCACCTCATAGGTTTTAGGATCAACCCTTCTTGACACAATTATTTCATACACAATACCAAAAAAAAAAAAAAAAACCACTGCCGTCGAGTTGATTTCGACCCATAGGAACCCTATAGGACAGAGTAGAACTGTCTCATTGGCTTTCTAAAGCTGTAATCTTTATAGAAGCAGACTGCCACATCTTTCTTCTGTCATGCACAATAGTCAACTTTAAGAAGGAACCTTTGTGGTGCAACTGTTAATTGCTTTGCTATGACTCAAAGGTTACTGGTTCAAACTCACCCAGTGGCTCTGCAGAACAAAAACCTGGTGATCTGTTTCCATAAAGATCACAGCCAAGAAAACCTTATGGGACAGTTCTACTCCGTCATATGGAGTCACTAGGAGTAGGAATTGACTCGATCTTGCCCAACAACAGGCAACTTTAAACAAATACTCTTGAAATATTTTTGGATAATAGTACCAGAAACTTGGTTCACCTGCAATTTAATTTTTTTTCTAATGTTTCAGTTTTAGAATGTATTTCTTATTGGCATATAAACATTAATAAAAACATTTGAAAGTTGATATTGTGTAGGAGGAAAGATCAAGGATGAGAGAAGAGACTGGGGAGCGTTGAGTACTGTCCTATGACATGCCCTGAGGTCATGATCTTCTCAGAAAGCACCTGCATGAAGAACAGTCCCTTCCTTGCCTTATACCAAAAAAATTGATAAAAATGAACTCTACTATGAATATATCTTCTATTTTTTTCTTAGCCTCAGTAAATCTGTTAATTATTTATTTTAAAAAAATAAGGTATAACTTTCATACAGTAAAGTGCATAATCTTAAGTGTATATTTGATAGATTTGTAAATGTTTATATACCTGTGTAACTGCCACCAAACTCAAGATATAAAATATTTCTAATACCCGAGAGTGTCCCTTATGCCCACTTCCAGTCAGAACTCCAGAGGTAAATATTATTCTGATTTTCATAACTAAACTTCCTATAAATAGAATATATTTTTAGTGTCTGATCTTTTATTCAACATTATAACTATTATTTTATCCATGTTGCATGTGAAGAAGTCTGTTTTTATTCATAGCTGTGTAATATTTTACTGTGTGTATATACTATAATCTATTTACCCTTACTATTGTTCATAAAAATTTGGATTGTTTCCAATTTGGGGCTATTTTTTTAAAACCT